TGCCCAATTTCAGTTCCCCCAGCTTCCCCAGAACTAGTTTGGTTATAGCAGAACTTTGCAAATCCCAAAGAAGACCAACACAAAAACAGTCCTAGCCTCAGGTAGTATCCATCTTGGAGTCTGCTGATGGCTTTAGGGCACCAGTTCTTACCCCTTTCTGTGTCATAGGCTCCTTTGAAAGTCCGGGGACATCCGTGGATTCCTCAGAACAATGTTCGTTGCTTACATTCACAATGAAGTAGGTGGTGGTGAAGTCAGGAAGGCCTTAGATCAAAGCCTGCCTGAGATGCTCCCTAGGTGTGTGATTAACCTCTGTCTGCCCCAATTTCCTTATCTTAGAGGCCGCTGATGCACAGTGGATAGAGCTCTGGGCCTGCAGTCAGGAAAATTCGAGTTCAAATTCAGCATCAGATACTTACCAGCTGTATAACCCTGAGCAAGTCACTTAACCTTGCTGTTTGCCTCAGTTTCCTCAACTATAAAATGGGGATAACAACAACAACAACAATAACATCTACTTTGAAGGGATATTTTAAGTATAAAATGAGATATTTGTAAAGTGCTTTGCAAACCTTAAAATGTTATATAAATGCTAGCTACTACTATTATTTTTGCTGGCTATTAATAAACAATGCTTAATTTCAGTTAGAGGTTAATGAAAATAAAGATTTGATTTTTTTTTCTGATCCAAGTTCACAATGAAAGTTAGGATTAGATCTTGCTGATGCATGGACCTCAGGTTAAGAACCCCTTCCCTAGAACCTCTGAGATAGTTCCTGGAATATGACTATTGTGGCTCTTCTAACATTCAAGCTTCAAACATATGGCCTCTCTCAAAGGGAAAAAGTAACCAGGGAGAAAGTCACACAGCCTGTCGGACCAGAAGAGCAGAGAGGAGTTAGGGAAGGAGGAGAGTGTGTGGAGGAGGGAGGGAAAGCACTTAGAATCTCTGGATGATTCGGGTTAGTCACAAGTGTTTTGTTTTTGTTTTCAGATGGGAGGGAAGTAAGAGGGAGAGAAGGTGTATTTTTGTTCACTGAAAAAAAATGAGACAATATAAACCTTTGTGTGATTGGAAATCCCCACTAGTCCTTAACACTAATAATTGTCAGGGGGGACTCTGTGCCTTTCTCTCCAGAAACTTTTTTTCATTAAGTGGGGAAATCCAGAATAAATGGAATTTTAAAAAATGATTCCCCCTCCTACTGGATTCTCCTGACCTCACTCAGCAAAAAAAAAAAAAAATCCTCTTAGAAAGCTCACTTTGCATTACTTTTCAATAGCTAGAAAGAAAGCTTGGAACCCCATTTTCCACGTTCTCTCCAAATGACTTTCTTGGCTCAAAAGCTGTCTCTTCCATCTGCCCCAGACTTGCCAGGCTGGAGCAAACGACCCCTCGGCTGTTTACTTAAGGAAAGAAATATCTCTGGGGAAAGGACTTTCTTCTTCTCTGTCCCATTCCACCAAAGCGCTTCCACCTGCTGTGGGCCTACACCACCATCTGCTGTTAAAAGGAAGACAACAGCCCAGCCGACCCGCTAGCCTCCCTTCCAATCCACAGTGGATGTCTTTTAAGTAGTAGGATTGTCGGAAGAGGGAGAGAAGGCGTGGTTGTAGCCGCTGGCTTGATTTAAGGTTACTAATGAGCTTGGTCAGAAGGCAGGAGCTGGCATAATGGACATGTTCCTTCGTTCAAGGATGTCAGCGAATCAGTCTTTTTCCTTGAAATTAAGTAAGGAGAGCCAGTGCTGTGTGATGGAAAGGGTTCTGGACCAGAAGGCAGGAGACGAGTTGAAAGCCCTACTTGGCTTTGATCTAGATGGGCCGGGTCAGGTCCCGCAACAAGGCAGTTGGGTTTGTAGAGTGAGTGTTTTTGATTCGTTGGCATGGGGAAGGGTTGGTGGGGAAGCCCCCCTCTCTCAGGTCAGATCAGCTGACTTAGCGAGGATGACACAGATGCCAGAAGTTCTACGTAAACCCAGGTCATCTGGCCTGAAGACAGCTCTCTATCCACTCTGCCTGTGCTGCTTTTTGCAGATGAGGAAACAGAGGCAAGGGCAGCATGTGGAAGTTATAAGGAAGCACATTTCTATTTGACATGAGGAAAAACTACTGAGCTTTCCAGACATGAAAACTAGGGCACGCATGTTTGTGGAGGTGAGAGTCCTGGGTCCCCTCAACTTTTCAATCTCCACTTGCAAAAATCTCACCCAGCTCTCCTTCGTGAATCTCCTCAATTTGCAGCGACCTGTTCCTCCTTTGACCTTAAGTAATGCCTTGTCCCCCTCATTTGTAGTTGTCTCCTAGTTTATAGTATAGTAATCTGGCATTTTTTGTTTGTTTGTTTTTTTGACTAGACAATGGGGTTAAGTGACTTGCCCAGGGTCACACAGCTAGTAAGTGTCAAGTGTCTAAGGCTACATTTGAACTCAGGTCCTCCTGACTCCAGGGCTGGTGCTCTATCCACTGCGCCACCTAGCTGCCACCTAGCTGCCCCCTTATCTCCTGGCCTTTTGAAGTAGTGCTTATGGATATTCTGATGCTCATTAGCTATGTCACCCTGGATAAGTCACTTCCTCTTGTTTTCCTCACCTGAAAAACAGGGGAAATGATGTGTGTTCTACCTACGTCATAGGGTGGTTATGGGGCCCAAGTGAGATAATGCATGTAAAGTGCTTTGTAAATGCCAGTCTTTGTGCAGAAGGCAGGAAACAATACTACCCTCTCCTCTGAGATACTTCCTTCCTTATGGATTTTCCTGAAACTGTTTTCATCTGATTCTACTCCTTATCTGACCTTTCCTCCTCAGTGTTCTTTGCTGGATCACCACCTACATCATGCCTTTTAACCGTGGGTGTCCGTTCCTCAAGACTCTGTCCTAGGCCCTCTTCTGTTCTCTCAACGCTCTCACTTGATGAGCTCATCTGGTCCCATGAGTTGTTATCATCTCTGTGCAGATGACTCCCAGGTTTCTTTATCCAGACCCAGTCCCCCTCCTGACTTCTAGCCCTACACAACCAACTGCCTACTAAATATTATGAACTGAATGTCCCAAAGGCATTTCAAACTCATCATGTCTGAAACAAAATTCATTATGCCACCTAGTGTGAGGCCTTTTCTAGGTTCCCCAGCTGCTACTGTCTTCTCATCTAAAGCTACCGTCCACCTACTCTGTGTGCATGTTGTATGTATAGATTGTCTCCTTAGAATATAACCTCCTTGAGGACAGGAGCTTACATATCCACAGCAATTCACAGTAAGCACTTAATATATGCTCGTTGAATGGTTTCCCAACTCCAACCCACTCACTCCTCTTTAAACTTCCCTATATCTATCAAGGGTTCCACCACCTTTCCATAGGAATCCAGGGTTGCAGCCACAAAGGTATCCTCATTCATCGGCCTGCACAGCCAGTTAGCTGCCAAGTGTTGTCAATTCTTCTTCCTCCTCAATAATGCTAGCTCACATTTACATAGCACTCGAAGGGTTACAAAGAGCTTTACAAATATTATCCTATTTTATATTCACAACAACCTTGGGAGAGGAGTGTTATTATTATCCCCATTTTATAGAGGAAGGGACTAAGGCAGATAGAGAGGCAAAGTGACTTGCCCAGGGTCACTCAGCTAGTAAGTGTCTGAGACTGAATTTGAACTCAGGTCTTCCTCATTCCAGGCTCAATGCTGTCTCTATCCTCTGTGCCACCTAACAGCCCTAGGTGACGAAGGCACCTCCTACCTGGACTATTGCAATAACCTCCAATTAGTCTCTGTGTGTGGTCTCTCCTCCGCAATTATCAGAATTATTTTTCTAAAATACAGATGTGATCACATAACTCCCCTACCAAATAAATTCCAGTGCCTCCCTAATATACCTAGTATCAAATACAAACTATATTGTTCAACCTTTCAAATCTTTCACAACCTGATTCCAACCTACCTTTCCATCCTACTTCCCTTTACACACACACACACACACATTCACAGTCCAGTTAAACTGGCCTTGTTAGTTCTTAAAAAAATTTTTTTTTGCAGATTCTTTCCTCAGTTACTTTATTTTATTTATTTATTTTTTTGTTAGTGAGGCAGTTGGGGTTAAGTGACTTGCCCAGAGTCACACAGCTAGTGAGTATCATGTGTCTGAGGCTGGATTTGAACTCAGGTATTCCTGACTTCAGGGCCAGTGCTCTATCCACTGTGCCACCCAGCTGCCCCCTTAAAATTTTTTAAAAATAATTTTTATTTACATTTTTTGAAAAAGAAAAACCTTTGTAACAAATAAATATAGTAAAAAAAATGAATCTACTTACTGACCATTTGCACAAATGTATGACTCTCCACCTTGGGTACGCCAATCACCTCTCACTCAAGGTGGTAGATAATATGCTTCATCTCTGGTCCTCTGGAGTCATGATTGGCCATTGCATTGATCAGAGATATTATGGGATAGCTCTCTGGGAGAGGTAGGGGAGAGATACTTGGAGAAATTATGGTGATTTTTAAAAAAAAAATCAATAAAAACTTCTTTAAAACAAACAAAAGGAACCTTTCCTTTAACTGTAGCTATAAAGTATACCTGGTCTTGTTCTCTTCTAATTTTTTTTAATGGTACGACTTTTCACATTCAAGTTGTATTTCGCTTTTAAGCTCACTGTTGCACGTGGTGTAAGATGCTGGTCTAAGCATAATTTCTGCCAAACTGCTTTTCCGTTTCCCCAGCAGTTCTTGCCAAATATGGAGTTATCTCTTGTGTGATTATGTTCTCCGCCCACCTCTTTATTTTACCGATGAGGGAACTGAGTCCCAGAAGGGTGAAGTGATTTGCCCTCAGTCACACAGGCAGTAATTGGCAGCGGGCGATGAATTTGAATCCCTGTGCTGTGACTGCCACTTGGCTGCGCCAGCTGGTAAGTGGTAGATCTCTAAGCTCAATCCCAGGCCTTTGGACTTGACTTAGAACTATAGATTTTCTTCAGGCTTATCTCTCTACTGATATTTGTCCCTGGATCAGTGGACAGGGAATATGAAAGCTCATTCTTATCCTCCTCTCTCCGTGGGAGAAAATTCTGTAATGAATTCCATCGGCAGGTGAGCAGACCTGAACAAAGCTGTGCTGTAAGAGCTAGTTTTGGTTACTTATCTGGAGAACTGGCCCTGTGCTAAACGTTCCCCATTTTCATGAAAACTAGAGCTGAGTGAGTGGGAGGGGCAGGCCACGCTGGTGTCAATCCAACTGGTTCCAAGCTGCCGAGCTTAGAAATACCATAGAGGCCCTGAGGCAGAGCTCTGGCAGAGTAGGAAGGGGTGGATGGGGAGGAAGGGAATGCTCATCTTCCCTCTTGTGGCATTTACTGGAATTACAGCTACCTATTAACTCATAGTAGGTAGAGTTAAGAAGCAAGTCAGGCCAGAGAGTTCAGGGAACTTCCCTGTGCGTGAGATTTAGGTATCTCTCTCTTGGTTGAACTGAGTTATCTTGCTCCCAATGGGAGAACTTCTTCACTCTATGTCTGGTAAATATTCTATGTATAACTTCTCTGATTTTTATTTTGCTAACAATTTGGATAAATGGGTTTTCTTGGAAAAGAAAGAAAGAGAGAGAGAGAGAGAGAGAGAGAGAGAGAGAGGAGAGAGAGAGAGAGAGAGAGAGGAGAGAGAGAGAGAGAGGAAAGAAGAGAAGGAAGAAGGAAGAAAGAAAAAAGAAAGAAAGAAAGAAAGAAAGAAAGAAAAGAAAGAAAGAAAGAAAGAAAGAAAGAAAGAAGAAAGAAAGAGAGAGAGAGAGAGAGAGAGAGAGAGAGAGAGAGAGAGAGAGAGAGAGGAGGAGAGAAGAAAGAAGGAAGGAAGGAAGGAAGAAAGAAAGAAAGAAAGAAAGAAAGAAGGAAAGAAAGGAAGAAGAAGGAAGAAAGAAGAAAGAAAGAAGGAAGGAAGGGAAGGAAGAAAAGAGAAAGGAGAAGAGAAGAGGTGGTGGGAGAGGTCAGGGAAAAATTCACCTATTCATCTCAGAACCTAGCCAGGGGTGGGGAACCTGTGAAGAACCATATGTGGCCTCGAGGCCGCAGGTTCCCTACATTTGAATCCTAGACTGTGAGAGCTAGGAATGACATCAGAACACAGAATGTCAGAGCTTGAAGGGACCTTGGAATATAGACTATTAGAACTGGAAGGAATTATTGAGGATAAGACAGGGGTGCTTGAGTATATTAGTGTTTTTAAAATTCTTCATGAAATCAGTGAATTAAAAGGAAAAAAGTTTAGGAAAGTATTTATATAGCCAACATGACAAAAACTCGCCCTCTAAAATATAAAGAACCATTAAAAATTCAGAGTGGTAATTCCCAGTCAAAGGATATAAACAGGCAATTTTTAAAAGAGAAAACAAATCCTTAATAATCACTTGAAAAAAATAGTCTTATTAGTAATCAAAGTGTTGCAAATTAAAACAGCGCTGACATATCACCTCATAACTTTCAAATTGGAAAAAATAATTAAAAGCAATAAAATTGAAAGTTGGCAGGTTGTGAAGAACTAGTTACTTCTAAAACCGTCACTGTGAACTATGCCCAAAGGGCTATAAAAACGCTCACACCCTTTGATCCAGCAAAGAGATAAAGAAAAAAAAAGGGTGGGGAAAGGACCTGTTTGCATAAAAATATTTATAGTAGCTCTTTTTGTGGTGGCTAAGAATTGGAAACTGAGGGAATGCCCATCAGTTGGGCAATGGCTGAATGAGTTGTAGTATATGATTGTAATGGAATATTATTGTACTATAAGAAATGACGAGCAGGATGATTTCAGGAAAACCTAGAAAGACTTACAAACTGATGCAGAGTGAAGTGAACAAAACCAGGAGAACATTGTACACAGTAACAGCAAATGTTTTATGATGATCAACTGTGAAAGACTTAGTTACTCTGACTAATACAATGATCCAAGATAATCCCAAAAGACTCATGGTGAAAAATGTTATCTGCCTCCAGAGAAAGAACTGAGGGAAGCATACTATTTTTCTTTCTTTCTTTCTTTCTTTCTTTCTTTCTTTCTTTCTTTCTTTCTTTCTTTCTTTCTTTCTTTCTTTCTTTCTTTCTTTCTTTCTTTCTTTCATTCACGAAATGACTAATATGGAAATATGTATCAGATTGCTTACCATCTCAGGGAAGGGGGAGGGGAGGGAGAGAAGGATAGAATTTGGAACTCAAAACTTAAAAAAAAAACACAACCTGAATGTTAATAAATGTTTTTACATTTAATTAGGGGGAAAATAGTATTAAAAATAAATAAATAAAACTGCCTCCACTCTGGTGCCAGCCCTCATCACCTCATACCTGGATTACTGCAGTAGCCTTGTGCCTGTACAAGTGTCTCCCCACTCTAGTTCATCCTCCATCCCGCTGCCAAAGTGATCTTCCTAAAGCTCAGGTCTGACCATGTCACCCCCCACCCTCCACATACTCAATAAAGTCCTGTGGCTCTCCATGACCACCGGCATCAGATATAAAACCCTCTGGTGTCCAAAGCCCTTCACAGCTTAGCCCTCCCTGCCTTTCCAGTCTTAACACCTGACACCCTCCCACTACTCTCTGATCTTGTGATACTGGCCTCTTGCCATTTCACAAATAACATACTCCACTTCCCAGCTCTGGGCATTTTGTCTGGCTGTCCCCTAGGGCTGGAATGTTCATGCTCCTCAGCTCAGCCTCCTGGCTTCCTTTGATGCCCAGCTAAAATCCCGCCTTCCACAGGAAGCCTTCCCCAACTCCTCTTCATTCTAGTGCCTTGCTTCTGTTCGTTATTTCCCATTTAGCCTGTTTGTACATACTTGTTTGCTTGTCTCCCCCACTGAACTGAGAACTACTTGAAGGCAGGGATTGTTTTAATTTAAATGTAACCAGATATATAAGTAATCGCAAGCAACCTCCTCAGAATCATACCCAGTGCTTTCGTCCTTTGCTCCACATTGAGAAGTTGAGGTTGCCCTCCCTACCAATGGCAGCTTGCCCTTCCACTGAATCATCTTCCCTTTGTCTCCTTGGCTTAATCCGTCCTGCCTGCCTTCGAACGTGCTCAGATTCCCCCAACCCACCGAACCTTCACACACACACACACCCCTTATATATTATATTGTCTTTTTTAGTTATTAACCTTTCTAGGGGGATTTAGCAGCTGCCCTTTTAGGAAGTAGCTGAAAGAGCATTGGGGGTACAGAACTTGGGTCAGGTAAGTTTTATTGGGGAAAGGGTATAGGTTAGTCGGAGATCTGGGGGGGGGTTACCACTGTGTTAGGCCTGCCCACCAACTTTACTGAAGTGTGTGTGTGTGTGTGTGTGTGTGAGACCTAGGATGATTTCCCCAGGTGAAATAGGGAAATATTGAGATAGAGAAGGTTCAGAATTTCCTTTGGGGCTTTAAAGACTCTCCTCTTTTATGCACCCAAAGTTCCACCATTAGCACTTAATGAGTTCCTTTGTCTCCCTCAGGATGTCATGCCAGCCAGAAGGGGGAAGGGAGAGAAAACCCAGGAGAGGAGGCTTTGCTGGGGAAAGATGGACGAGTCTGGGAATCACTTCCCTTCAGTTTCTTCACCCATAAAAAAGGGGAATTAGACCAGATGATTGCTAAGATCACTAGTGGTACCAACATTTTGTGTCTAAACCAATGAAAATGGAAGGGAAAAAACACAACCTAACAGAATTTGCCATAATTATAATGAATAATGATAATGACTTATAATTATAATATTCTTGTCTCTTGCCCCTCCCTCCTATTTTTGCAGAACTGTGCAACTATAGATTGGCACATAGCTGCCTTGTTTCCTCCTTCTTTTTTAGTTATTGTAAGGAAAGGCTCTCTGGACAGGAGAGAAATATATGACAAAACCAAAAGAAAATAATTTTTTATTACTCATTTTATGAGTCTATGAGGTAGGAGTTTTGGACTTACCTTCATGATAAATTGAATAAATTCAATTCAGCAAACATTTATTAAGTACTCAATATAGGTTACTCGAACAAGATGCTGATCTCCAGTCTCTGGGCATTTTCTCTGGCTATCCCCAATGCCTGGAATATTTTCCTTTCCCTCCTCTGATTCCTGGTTTCCCAGGCTTCCTTCAAAGTGCCAGCTAAACTCTCACTTTCTACAAGAAGCCTTTGCTAATCTCCGTTAATTATAGTGCCTTTTCTCTGTTGATATCTCCAATTTATCCTGTATATAGATTGTATATACCTAGTTGTTTGTATGTTATCGCCTCCATTAGACTGTGAACGGACCCTACTGTCCATGAGGTTTTCTTGGCAAAGACACTGGAGTGGTTTGCCATTTCCTGTCACATAGTAGGCCCTAAATAAATGTTTATTGACTGACTGAATGATAAGGTCCTGTGCTAGGTTCTAGGGGAATTATAAAGCCCATAGTCTCTGCCCTGATGAAGCTTAAAGTAGACAGAAGCAAGGAAGGGAAAGATGCAGAGATAGAACTAAATCAGGCTAAACTCCATTGACATTCCCAGAAACAAAAGGGAGAATTTTCTTTGTAAGACTTCTCTTTTCTTCTTACACACACACACACACACACACACACACACACACACACATTTATTGATATCTTTTGTCTTTATATCACCTTGATTTCCAAATATATCCCTTCCTCCCCCTCTGCTCAGAGAGCTATTTCTTGTAAAAAAAAAAAGAATGCAAGACAGACAGAGACAGACAGAGACAGAGACAGAGAGATAGAGAGAGACAGAAAGAGAGGCAGAGAGAGGGAGGAAAGGAAGAAAGGAGGAGGAGGGCAACAGTTGGGCAAAACTAAACAAAGATTGAGCCAAATCTGACAATATTTGCAATTTTCCACAGTAATAGTCCCTCACCCCAGGATAAAAGGAAGAGAGGTGAGTTTTTTCATCTTATATTCAGGGACCAAGTTTGGTTTTTATAATTACGGAGTATTCAGTTTTATTTCTCAAACTTATTTCATTTAGGTGTTGGAATCATTGCTCATATTGTTTTCTTGGTTCTACTTCCTTCGTTTTGCATCAGTTCATCTAAGACAAGTCTTCCTATACTCCTTTTTTCATAATTGCCTTTTTTTAAGTGGAGCAATAATGTTCTATTACGTCTGTGCACCATGCTTTGTTCCACCCCTCCTCCAACCACGCACTCCACGGAGGCAGCCTCCTGTGTTGCTGTTCTTGCTCTTGCTTGCAGGTCATTTAAGAATTCTAACTTTATAACTTTCCTCAGAGCTGTTACTTGGGCCCCTTCTCTGTTTTTCTGTTAGTCAGAGGGAGGCAGCGTGGTGCAAAGGAGTCAGAATGCCTGGGTTTGGGTATCTACTCCTCCATGTTTTAAACGACTGTGTGATTCTGGGCAAGTCATTTAACTTCCCTGTTTCCCCATCCATAAAGTGAGGATAATACCAATTGTGCTATCTCTTTCCTGGGATTTAACAATCAATAAACATTTATAAGGTGCTTACTATATGCCAGACACTGTGTGAGGTGCTGGGGATAAAATCATGAACCAGTGCCTGCCCTCAGGGAGTTCACTGTTTAGCTTGGGGAAACAACAGTGTGTATAATTATATATGAAATATGCAGAGTTCATACAAAGTAATGAGGGTGGGGTGGAAGCGCTAGCAGCCAGGATGATCAGGACAGGCCTCAAGTAGGAGGTGACCCTTGAGTTGAACTTTGAAGGAATGTAGGGGGTCTAAGAGCTAAGAGGAGGAGGGGGCGCATTCCAGCCTGAGGGGACAGCCTGTGAGGGGCACCAGAAGTAACTCTTACACGGATCCAATAAGCTAAGGTATGCAAGATCTTATTATGCTGAAGTACTTGATAGATGTACTATTATTAAGAAAAGAGTATCAGAATATAAGGGTTTGTAGGGGATTGGAAAAGGGGATCAAATTTGCTGGCTGTCTCTCGTCTCTACAGTGATCCTATGAAAGTTTGTACCATTTGGGGGCACCTGCGGAACCCAGGTTTCCAGGGGACATAAGCAGGACCCTGGATGCTAGGGGGGAACAACACCCCAAGTGGAGAAAATAAGCGTTAATTAAGCACCTACTGTAGACCAGGCATTGTGCAGACACTGAACTTACAAAAGAACCTCAGTAGCCCTCAATAGCTTACATTCCATTGGTGTGTATATAAATGATGTGCACTCAGAAAATGAAAATAGAAACTACATACAAAGTAATTGGGGGTAGGGGAGCTGTAACTAGGTAAATTAGGTTAGGCTTCCTGTTAAAGGCGGCACTTAGCTGAACTGTGAAGGAAGCTGGGGATTCTATGGGGGTGGGGGGAAGGCATTCTAGGCATGAGGGCCACCCTATACAAGGCCTAGGGAAAGGGATGGAGTGTTCTGTCTAGGGAATGGACAACTGCCCAGCTTTGTCAGAACCAAGAGCCAGTAAAGAAGAGTGAGAAGTAATAAGCCTGGAGTAGAATGGCAGCATATTTCAGAAGGCTTTATTTAAAAGACAAACAGAGGAGTTTTTAGTCTATCCTAAAGACTTGTGGGATCATAGTGACTGATGAATTTAGGCAATTTGGTCATTTACAATGGGATTGGAACAACTAGATATAAGGACAGCTGAACAAGTCCAATATGGCCCTTAAAAACTATTTATTTTTTAATTACTTATTTTTAATCAACAAATATTGAATTTTCTGTCCTCGCCACCCTTCATAAAAAAAAAAGGTAGAGAAAACTCTTGTAACAAATACGCACAAACATGGACATATCAGCCATGTCAAAAAAATGTCTAAAAAAAACCCAACCCGACAACAACTTCACAGGTACGAGATAGCCAAGGTGTGGTTAAACAGCAACTGATCTGAAAAACATCTTGAGGTTTTAATGGACCACAAGCAGAATGTGAGTCAGCAAATATGGCAGCCAAAAAAAAAAAAAGCTTATGCAATCTCAGACTGCATCTGGAGAGGCATAGTTTCTAGGAAGAGGGAGGTGACAGTCTTATTGTCCTCCTTCCTTGTCAGGCCTCATCTGGAGTATTGTGTCCAGCTTTGGGTCCCACAATTTAAGAGGGACATTGAAGAGTTGGAAAGTGTCCAGAAGAGGACAACAAGGATGAAGAAAGTCCATGTTGTATGAGGATTAACTATTATTATTATTATTATTATTATGTTATTAATACTATTATACTATAAGAAATAAAACAAGGGATAGTTTCAAAGAAACCTGGGAAGATTTTTATGAACTGATACAGAGTGAAATGAGCAGACACAGAACAATTTATACAATAACAGCACTGTAAAGACAAACAGCTTTGAAAAACTGAAGAACTCTGACCAATTCAGTGACCAACTATGATTTGATAATGAAGCATGTTAGTCACCTCTGGACAAAGACATGATGGACTCGAGGTGCTGACTGTTTGTCTGATATCTCTAGGAGGTATAGAAAAAATAGAAAAATAGAAATAGAAAATAGAAAAAATAGAAAAAAATCTCAGAAGTCATTCCTACTCCAAAGAGGCAGTTGAGATGATATCAATAATGACCAACTCATATGCCTTTTTTTTATTTTTATAAACCTTTATAATAATGGTCTACAAATTCAATGAAAAAGTTCTTGATGAAAATATGAGATGGAAACAGGCGAGTTTTTGTAACCAATTTTCTATAGCAAATTGCATCTACATAGCCACATAATTGACTGAAAGGTGAGGTGTAGAAAATATAAGATCTCACTATATTGTTTGCTGATTTTTAAAAAATGTACGCTCAATGGCTGTACTCCAACAAAGGAGTCTCTCATACAAGACATAGAAGATTCCTTAGTATATGAAGTGCCTAAGATGACTCTGTTCAATGACCTTCTGATTATTAACGTCAAATGAGTTAAAACAGCAATGTGTGCTCACCAAAGGTATTGGCCACTGTTATGGACGGTGTCCTGCACAGAATCCAAATCCAAGAGAGATCCTTTATATATATGGAAGCTCTCCAGAGGCTCCTGTTTGCAGATGACATTATGCTGATTCCATGAAGCTCAAGAACGTTGAAGGGCCTGCTTAAGGAGATCCATGGTTACTCAGAAGAAACTGACCAAACAGTGTCTATAGGAAAAACTAAATGGATGAAAAATGTGTGTTTTCCAGGCTCTGGCATGCAGGAAAGTCAGTCCATTGAATCGACCCATTAGTGGACACAGCTTGAGCAGGTACTGAAGGTGAACAGTAAGTTGGGCCTAGGATTGAATTAGAGGAAAAGAGTGGGCTGGATTTCATTTGGGAAATTCATCTCTGCTCTTTATGATCCCAAGCTGCTCCATGACTTAACGTAAATGTTCTCTAGGTAATACTGTGTGGCCGCAGATCTTGCAACAGCATGATTTCTGAAGAATACAAGTTGTGGGTCACCTAAAGGTCAAGGAGGACATACGCAGTGGGCAGAAGTAGGCTGCAGAATACAGGGTTTCTCCCAAAGTCGTAAGCGCAGTTTGAAGCGCTGGTACCTGAAAACTGTGCTAAGACTTTTGGAACATCCTGTATTTCCAAGAATGACCTCCATTCGAGCAGGTGGCATAAGTACTCTAATGGATCTATGATCTAATTGATTTGAATGCCCCTTCCAATGATGCAAATGGCAACTTGCCCATATCTGCCCATTCAGTGTGACTTTGAACCCTGTTCCACCATAAGTCTGCCATAGGAGGTTTGTTGAACATGCTGGAGGCCTTTCTAGCATTTCTCCAAACATCTCATGAATGCCTATGGATTGTCTGAGTGTCCGTAGGTTACAGGACTAGCTGCACGTCTTCTTTCCAAGTCCTATATTTCTCTGAGGGCATGTTATTCAAAGCTGGCCTCAGATACTTACTAGCTATGTGACCTTGGACTCACTAGCTAAGTGACTTTGGACTTACCAGATAAGTGGCCTTACTTCATCTTTGTTTGCTTCAGTTTCCTCAACTGTCAAATGAGGATAATAATAACACCTCCCTGTTGCTACGATCCATGTCTTGGCTCTGGACATTTTCTGTAGCTGTTCCTCATGCCTGCAATGCTCTTCCTCTTCAGGGAATCCTTCCCTGGCATCCTTCAAATCTCAACCAAAATCCCCCTACACCCCCTTATGCAGCCCTCCTTTGTAACAAGAAGCCCACCTAAGCAAATCTAATCCACACACAGGATATTCCAAAGTCTGGACTCATTGTTTGCCTCATTTCACAGCCATAGTCCACCCTCTCTCAACCACCTGAATGGGCACAGTAGCTATCTTCCCACTTACACCATCTCCACCGCTGCCCCAGCCCCTGCCCCCAGAATGATATTTGTAATATGTAAATCTCATCATATCACGACTCTGCTTACAAATCTTCTGAGGTTAATCAATTAATCAACAAATGCACTGTGCCAGGTCCTGGGAATGCAAGTTCAAGGAATAAAACAGTCCCTCCTCACAGGGAGTTAACATTCTAATGAGAAAGATAAGCACATATAAAAACAGAGAGAGAACAAATATAAAGTAAATACATAGAAATGTATACAAAGTGGTTAAGCACACGGTAGTTTGAGAGGGAAGATGCCGGGAGTTAGAGAGATCAGCAGAGGCTTCCTGCAGAAGATGTGTCTTTAATGAAGAGAGGGACTCTGGGAGGTGCAGGTGAGTGAAGTCCAAAGTCTTATGCCTGGCATTTGATGCCCTTCCACAATCTCCATCTCCTAGAACAGTGGTTCCACTGAGTAGTTCACAAGCCCTATGGAGGTTCATGATAGTAGTTCAAGGGATTCACACTAAAAATTCTTTAATGATGTTTTAAATAGTAAACATTTACTCAGTTATATTGCAAATATATTTTTCCTCTTGACACGAGCATGTGCATTTTTGAAGCATTATAGGTTTGTTTCTGCAGTGATTCAAAGCCATCATGATCACATGTGCAATGCTTTTAGTGTTCATACAGTGATTATACCAAACTTTGGTCACTTCTGACCTTAAACACAATATGTTCTTGAAGTTTTTCATCAGACTGTTTCCAAACTACCACGGGGTTGTGTCCTATTTTCAAAAGATGATCAGATGCATGTGCCTATCCTCATTTGCATTCTGTATATTGACCAGACCAGAGCAGCTTCCTCATTCCACTCCATTACCCTGTAATCCTGTCTCATCAGTTGTATAATGATACAATCAAGATGCCATGAATGTTTACATTCTTGCAGCACAAATATCCAGCAATATGAAAGCCATGATCACTGGGCATGCACACTACAAGCTATCGTGAAACCATCACAGGCCATCATAAATATTCTGCAGAAAAAAACCTTGTATTGCCTCTCATTATTAAGGTTGTTTTCCAATTTAAGCTTGTTCTCTATTTATGTTACTATTCTTCTCTTGGGCAGATTTTTCGTAAACTAGTTGGCAACACTTTCTGTGAGAGTAGCCCAGCTGCCAGCAGGAGAAGAGAAGAAAGACACATCTGAAGAAATTCTTTCCTTACAAAGGTCGGTTTATGTATACAAGAATTGTTTAAAAAACAAATAAACATGTAGTATATGCAATTGAACTGTAAGTATATTTGTCATTTAATACAGTGCTTGTCATTAGCCAGTAGAAAAGTAAATATTTTATGTTGTAACTAGCTTGCCATTTTCATTAATTGTTTAGGTGTCTAAAAATTTAAAAATGAATTTCCACCTCTTAGCAAGAGAGCTTGTAAAATTCTCCTCCCTTTTTCCATCACACATTTGTGTGAGCAAACATTTTCACTTTATTCTTGTTTTAAATCAAAATACAGACAGAAACTTGATATGAAACCAGATTTAATTCTGTGGTTGTCTGATGAGCCAAATTACAAATATTTGTTCAAATAAAAAAGTACAACATTGAAATTAAGTTTGTATATGATTATTATATTATATTAAACATCTTCTGAGTTGTAACCTATTTCATCAAAATGTTATGTTCAACAAAATCTGTCAAACAAAGAAATCTGTAAGATAAAGAAATATAATATGAAGGCTTGTAGATAATAGTAAATATATGAGGTCTTGCTAGATTACTTTTTAAAATTCTTATAAAATGGGGCAGCGAGGTGACGCAGTGGATAGAGCATGGGCCCTGAAGTCAGAAGTACCTGAGTTCAAATCCGGACTCAGACCAACCACTTGACACTTACTAGCTGTGTGACCCTGGGCAAGTCACTTAACCCCAATTGCCTGGAAAAAAAATTTTCTTATAAAATGTCCCACATAGAATGTTCATAATTATTTTATAAGTAGAGTTCTACAATTTTATACTTAAGAGTTTTCATAATTCTGAGGTAGAATAACATTTTATATTTTATGATTAAAATTATATAATTATAAATTTTAATTCAGAGCTTCTGGAGGCAAAAATTATCATTGTAGTTATTGCAAGTGGAATAGAATTTGCTTTGCTCATATCCAGAAAACCTAACATGGAGGCCTTCACATGGGAGAAGGCAGAGACCTATTTCTCTGAAAGAAGACATGCTGTGTTCCCCTACCACGTGGGTGGGAACAACTTCTTTCTATTGTCTGTGTAGTTGGAGCGAGCTGCATCCAAGGAGTCTGAAGTTCACCCACAGGGTAAGCATCATGAACTGACCTGGGTGAGGGGGAGGACTAGCTTCCTTCCCCACGTTTTCAGGCTCCATGACCCTGAGAAACAGGTTTGGAGCTTTCTTCTGTTTTGTTTGTCCCTTTCAGCTCTAGGGGCGGCCAGTGGAGCCCCCGGACCGAGTAGGCCGTGGTGACCTTGGAGGCAGAATTCTAGGCCAGAGCGATGTTGCCAGCCTGTCAGGGAAGCTGTGAGAGACCGGGTGCCTGGGGATTGAGCCTGATAGGGAACCCTGGTGGGAACTATCTAGGAAGTGAGCTGAGCTGTGAACCTCACTCCCTGGACATGGAGGTGATGTGGGGGGCCGGGGGCAGTGGAGAGCGAAGCCCCTCAGGTGCTGGGAGTGACACTTGTGTTCTTACTGTGTCTTTGAGTAAACGTTCCTTTGTAAAAGCGAATCTGTCAAGAGGTTATATGGCACTGGGGTGCAGAGGACCCCCTAAAACTAGGGGAACACTGTTGGTGGGGCCTGGAGCCAATGGTGGAGGGACTGATAGTGGAGATCCCTGGAGGGAAGGGCCCAATGTAGCACACCTGGCCTTCAGGCAGTGGGGGCCAGGGTGGCCACTGTTACAGAAGGACTTCATGAATAAATCTGATTATTATGAGTAGTATATTGTTACCGCGGGGAGTCACGGCACTTTTTTTGTTGTTGGAAGAGGTTCTTGGAACAAAAAAATTGGGAACCACTGACCTAGAACAATGCCTGGCACACAGTAGGTGCTTTAAAAAGTGCTTGCTAGATCAGCCCTTTCCAGCTTTATTTCATATTACTCCCAAATTCACTTCGTATAGTTCACCTAAACTATGCCACTCTTTGCTCCTTGAATACCACTGTGGCTTCCTGCCTCAGCACCCTTTGCTCAGGCCATTTCCTCTGCCTGGGGTGCCCTCCCCTGCCCTCCCTACCAAGTCTCTCCCCACCCTTTAAAATAGAACTTACAGGCCGTCTCTTCCAGGAAGCCTGCCCTAATCATACGACATGTCGGTTACTTCCCAGGCTTCCTAAAGCACTCAGTGTTATTACAGCTTCTGTGCTGGTGTCTTAGCCTCCTTCCACACTGACAGGGCAGGGACCTGGCTTATCTCAGCTTTACATCTTCCCTGCCACCGCCCACTTGGGTGGTTGTTGTTGAATCATTTCAGGCCAGTCCAACTCTTTGTGACCCCATTTGGTGTTCTCTTGGCAGAGATACTGGAGTGTTTGTCATTTCCTTCTGCGGCTCATTTTACAGAGATATATTTATTATTATCTACAAGTGACTTGCCCAGGGTCATACAGCTAGTGAGTGTCTGAGGCCAAATTTGAACTCAGGTCTTCTGGTCTCCAGGCCCAGCCCTCTATCCACTGCACCACCTAGCTGCCCCTATGTTGGCAGTAGGTGGAGATAAATATTTAAAAGCTAACGATCCAACTTCATCTGTTTCCAGTCCTCGCTCCCGATTCTGCCTTCGCTGATCATAGCAGCCCTTCATGCATTTAAAGACCTTCCCTTTAGCCTTCTTTTCTCAAGATTCAACATGCCCCATTCACAAGGTCTGAGAATTTAGATCAGGAAGGGACCACAGAGATCATCCCGTTCGATGCTCAGTTTTACAGATGGCAAAACCGAGGCCCCTAGAGACAAAGGGACTTGCCCAAGGGTCTCACAGGAAAGTAAGTGGCAAAATTTAAACCCAGCACCTCTCACTTCCAGTCCAGAACTATTCCTCTTCACCACTGAAGGTGTGACTTTTTGGTGGGACCTTAACTCTCTGAGGCTCAGATTCCTGGGGAAAAATAAGCTGTTATTAAGTACCTCCTGTGTGCCAGGCAACGTACTAAGCACTGGACTACCTCCCTCTCAAGAGTATTAGGAGAACAGCTTCAGAGAAGTGTGAGCTAATTATTGCCTAGTTAATTCATAGCATGGAATTGGGGACTTCCCTGGGGGGGGCAAGGGATAGCATGGGGGCAGGTGAGGGGGATTTGTAAGATATAATAGGCATTTGTAAGATATAATAGGGCTTTATGGTGAAGGCTGGAATGCCAGCTGAAGCCTGGGTTTTTGTCTGTTCCTCCAACCCTTAACCCACTTCTTACCAGGGTTTCTGGCTCCTTCTAGAGGATTATCAAAATTCCCCTTATACACTTGGAAGAGAAGCCTGGAAGGGTCAATGTGTAATACAAAAAAAAAAAATAATAATCCCTAATGGTGGATTTTCAGACATGGGAATTTTTTGAAGGCAGGGGATCCTTAGAGGTTCCCTGCAATCACATCACACAGGTTGCTGTCTAATGAACCACCTGTAGGTAGTGGACCCCATGCCTCTCCCCAATGCCCACCTCCTTCCTCCTCCTCCTCAGGGCATCTGAACTTGGTGTGAACATAAACCACAGACCTGTGGGAGGCAAGTGGAAGGGTGGTAGAAGGGGAAAACCCCTCCTTTTGTTTCAGAGTTTCAGATTGAATCGTAAACATGAAAAGTAACCCAATAAGTAGGTGTTGGGGAAGACCAAGACATCCCCATTTTTTAGTTCATGGAAATCCCTTAGTGTCTTCACTAGTCTTCTTCCCCTTCTTTGATCTCACTCCCACACCCACCCTCCCATCCCTCACTCCCCATAGCCATTTTGCCTTACAAAAGTGCTTGGTAAAAAATGGGATACTGCCTTCAATCTATTATTCAATCAATCAGCAAATAATAAGTGCCTACTATGTGCCAGGTGAGTCACTGTGGGTACAAGTACACAGAAGGAAATAATCTCTACTTGAAAAGAGCTCACAGTCAAATGCCCTGGTGAGAGACATCTCTCAAGGCTTTGGATGTGGTATCCTCGGGGCCTGGGTTCAGAGGAAAAAGGCCAAGAAGCCAAAAGGGAACAGGACCTTTAGGGATGGACCCAGGGAAGAGTCAAGGAGGGAGGAATGTGAAGAAAAAGATGGGGAACAGTGATCTAAGAAGCAGGCCCAGGATCAGACTGTGAGCTCCAAGAAGTCAGCAACCATGCCTCCATGTTCTCTTTGCACCTGGCAAGAGAACCTACGTGCACAGGAACACGCACGCACGCACCCACAAGCCACAGACACCGGGCAGAAACTCAGTGACATTTGCTGAGTGAGAGACAGCAGACCCGAGTGAGTGGGAGGGACCTTTAGTTCTGTGTTATATCAATGGTATTTCTATTTCTGGAGGGGGAGACGAGGACAGCCTCATTCAGAGTCTCCCTGTACTGTGGTCTTCAAACCTTTAGGTTAAGACAGAGAGGCCAAGTAGAGTCACACAGCCTTTTTTTTTTTAAACTCCCCCAGGTCTTATTTCTTGTTCTTACTTGCTGCTGCCTCCTGGAATACTCAAGCACTTTCTTCTGATTCCTCTGAGTCAGGGGGAACTCCCAACAACAGGGGAGTTAGTTACAGGGGAGGTAGATTTCAGCTCAACCTAAGAGAAGAGTTTTCTGAGCGGCAGGATCGTCAACCACAGAGCAGTTCACTACAGCCGGCCGCGAGCTGCTCCTTCCCTGGAAGTGTTTCAGCAGGGTTCAGCTGGCTGTGGGGCCAGGGAGGCGATGTTTGGAGGCTGGACCAGGGAGGATGTTTGGAGGGGGCCCTCTGGGCCCCCATCAGCTCGCAGATTCTATAATTGTCTGAAATGAGAACAGACTATCAGGCGTGTTTGAACATGTGGGCCGGGCAAAGACCAGGTGGATTGATTAGTCATTTAGCCCCCATCTCTTCACTCCAGAGGTTGCGGGGAAGGAGGGGCAGGAATGATCATTAGATATAGACTGAGAGTTGGAGGGGTCCTTAGAGGTCCTGGATGAGGCTTCTAGACCAACCTCTTCATTTCACAGGTGAGGAAGCTGAGTCACAGAGTGTTTAAGTGATTTGCTCAAGGTCACACAGGTGGAAAGTGTCAGGCACAATACCTAGGATTCTTTCCATCAGAGCAGGCTGACTCTTGAATGAGAAGGAAATGGACCTGATGTTCAATCAATCAGTCAACAAACAAGCATTTATTAAGCATGTCCTGTGTGCTGGGACCTGGGTATACAAAGATACAACCCCTCTGGACAAGTGTAGACTTCTCCTCCACGTGAGGGTAAAGTTACTTCGCGGAGCTGGGCCTCTTATTGTGTGTTGGGAACAAAGACAGGACCGCACCTCTGAAATGGGGGACCTGAGACGAGGGGAGCGAACGTTCGTGTTCCAACAGAGATTTTCAGGAAACTGACTCATGATGGGGAGGCATCGGGAGAAGCTGGTAGGAATCCTCCCTCCCTGGTGGGAAACAAAGCCTTCCATGGAAACTCCCCGAGTCTCTGCTGTCTGGGCCCATGCTGTTGGCAAGAGAGCAGGACCCCTGACCCAACTAAACAAGTCTCCTGTCCTAGTAATAAGCCCTGTGTGCCCTCCTGGGTAGGGCAGTCAGAAAGCCCTATCTGTTAGAGGTAGGAGGAATGTCAGGATGTGCAGTATTAGAACACAGGATGACAGAGCTGGGAGGGACCTTAGAACACAGAATGGCAGAGATAGAGGGGCCTTAGAACACAGGATGGCAGAGCTGGGAGGGGCCTTAGAACACAGGATGGCAGAGATAGAGGGGCCTTAGAACACAGGATGGCAGAGCTGGGAGGGCCCTTAGAACACAGAATGTCAGGGCTGGGAGGGCCCTTAGGCTATAAAATTTCAGAAAGGGGCCTTAGGGGCCTGCCTATCTCCTGCCTCAGCTCTGGTCATCATCTTAATCTCTCCATCTCTGAAACCTAGGAGTCAGGTCCTAGATCTACTAGGTCTGATAGGTGATCTGAGATCCACCTCTTCATGCCATTTCCAGGCCATTTTTACCCCCAGTCCCTTATTCAATTCCCCTTTATCTGTTGTCTTTCCCCATTAGAATGTGAGTTTCTTGAGGGCACACAGGAAGCACTTAATAAATTCCTGATCTGTCTATCTACCTGTCTTATCTATCCATCCCTCCATCCCTCTATCCAATCCATCTCATTTCATCTATCTATCTATCTATCTATCTATCTATCTATCTATCTATCTATCTGTCTATCTGGTGTTTGTCGCTTAGATATATTTTGTATGTTGACATGGGACATCTAAATTCAATTTGAGGCAGGCACGAATATCTCTGTAATCTTGCCCACCCCTCTCCAAGGAAAACTTTAATTCCTGGTTACTCTGTTCTTCTCCTAGAGAGAGGATTCAGGACAAGAAGTATATCTCTCAGACCCTCCTCCCCCTATTGCTGATTTAGAGGCATGGGATTTTTTTAGATTCATATTATTTTCCTGATTAATATCCCTTAGAGGGAAAAGGGGTGACCCTGAATAAGTACTCCTTCCTACCAAATGCTAGTTACACAAAAGATTTGTTGTTCAGTCACGTCCAATTCTTCATGACCCCATTTGGCGTTTTCTTGGCAAAGATCCTGGGAGTGGTTTGCCATTTTCTTCTCTAGCTCATTTTACAGTTGAAGAAACTGAGGCAAACAGACTTAAGTGTCTGAGGCTGGATTTGAACTCAGGTCTTCCTGACGCCAGGACCTGCACTCTATCTACTGTACCACCTAGCTGCCCTTACAAAAGACACCACATGATAAACAACCAGCAAATCTATTTATCCAAGATGA